GTTCCACTGAAATGAATAAACGCTGACTTAACAAATGCTAAAGCCCTCAATCTATCACTTGTCTTGCTTTCCCACATTCTCTGTGATTGAAGCCTGGCTTGTGAGTCACTCCAGATCTATATCTGTGCCAAGGCCTGAGCAGAGTCCTTGTTTTTCCTCCTTTTCCCATGCCAGTTAACCACAATAAGATCACTAAACCTTCTGTGGGGTTCTACAGGACTGGTTTCAGGGACATAAAAACCCACACGGGTGTGTCTTTTGTTCAGCGATACCCCGCCCCATGATGTCATTGCTTTTGGGAGTGTAATAGCAATTATCCGTTCCACCCAGATAATTCTTTAACCCTTCTTTTGCTTTTAGTTCCCACCATGCTAGAAATTATTTGAATCATGTTGCTGTCACACAGATTTAGGTCACATTTTCTGCTTTACAAAAACCAGATCTATGCATATATACTGTACATTGTGGAAGTTATGCAGCATTAATTCAGAGTAAAGGCAGTATAGTGTATTGTGACATGAGGCTAAAGAATCAATTTCTGCCTCCTAAGAAAAACAGTAAACAACTGCAGCCACAGTGACCTGCATTTTGTTGAAGAAGGGGGCTCAGTTATCAACATGGGATATGCCAGCAATCCCACCAAGCTCTTCCAAGCACTTGGGTATTCTGTAGAAATTATACAGAAGAGTTGCAGAACTCTCCATTGTTGTTGGCATAATATATAGAAATAAATAATTTCTCTGCAGCTCTTTTGATTTCTGTTTTTGATCTCCAGAAAATCCCCATCCATTGTTAGTGCACATCTTGTCTTAGTCAACCTGACCATAAAAATGTAGTAAAATCTTGTTACGGCTTGTTAATAATTCAGACCAATTTTTCCCATAGTAATTTCTGATTCTTGTCCCCTGTATAAACATACTTGTGTTGCTTTTGTGTGAGCGTCTCGAAAGAACACTCATGGTTTATCTTTCCTTATTGTTTATATTGCCAGAAACTCAGTAAAGTTAAAGCCCACGTCTTAAGCACCTATTTCTGTGTTGCTGTCTGTCAACCCTGCTTTGCAAATGTTGAGCCACATGATCTCACTGATGTGCACTTTTGTAGCTTTCTGACTGCAGACTTCACCATTCCTACCTTTCTAGAACTAATCCTTCTCAAGGTCTTAGGCCACTAACCAAGAACCCTTGGTTGTTGTTTTTTGTATTCTTGAGGCCTATTGTGTATGTAACCCAAAATTTTGCATTTCAGATATTTTATTTATTTATTTATTTATTAG